TGACTCTTCTGGCACAGCTTCCTGCACAGATGGAGTCTTCAAAAAAAGGCATGGCAGCCATGAGCTGAGCGTTTTCCTTCTATTGCACTAGTAGAAGCATTTCACGAGTAAGAACTCTGAAGGAACATATCTCTTCTAGCACAAATGAGCTAAGTGTGTGTTCCAAAGAGCAGCTGAACAAAGGACAGGTGTCATGACTACCGAGTTCCAAATGCCAAATGTCTCCCCATAAACATGCTTGCAACCCTGTTGTCTTGCAATACGATACAAAAGATTTCTGGAAGGTCCCAAAAGCAACAAATGCTCAGAAAAGTTGTTGAAAGATATATTTGTTTGTTCTGCTTCGTTGCCTCCTCAGCAGGCGGTTGATGTGGAGGTCCAGGTTCCTGGGGACAAGCTTGAAGCAAGCAAATTTGCATCCCACCTGTCAAGTCTATGGGCGCAACATGGTTTTGACATGTAGCAACATACCCTGAGGCCAAGCACAGCGGGATCATCTCGTGTTTCCTGCCAAACACGCAAGCAAGCATACTTGATTTGCGAAGAACTATATATATTTGCGGAACATGCATTGCCAAGACAATTCAGCACTGTAACAAATGCGTGATTTCTCTCGGGCCTGGTGCGCCCAGCTTGGTGTGTATTCCTGGGAGGCGCCAAAAAGCGCCAAATACTCAAGAAAGCAATACGCGGGGATGTGTTTGTGGTTTGTTTTTGCCGCCTCATCATCACACGGTTGAGGTGGAGGTTCATCTTCCTGGAGTCCAGCTTACACTAGTTTTTTGGCATAATGGTCAAGACATTAAGTAAACAAAGACGACTATGTCCTTGAGAAGCCTTTGGAATAATTCATTTGCCAACCCTTTCCAATGTGCTTCATCGTCCCCTCCGGCTTCACAATACATTGCATGACTAGCCACCAGCCAGTGCATACATTCCAGCAGAGCTTGCAAAGGCGTTCTGATGGAACCAAAGCTTCTTGAGACGTACTGCTGCTGACCATGCGGATGGGGGTACTTCGCAGACCAAGCCGAAGACTTCTCGTGACGTCCCAATGTGGTGTCTTGAACTTGTGGTAGCTTCTGAACCCAGCCTTCTTTCTCCAGAAGCATCCACTCTTCAGAGGTCATTTTTCCTCGAGGTCTGTGGATGACTTGACCCTCTGCAACCTGACTTTCATCAGCTTCATCAGGTTTAGCAACTCCTGGTACTTGCTCAGATGTCAAGTCTTTGGAGGACTTAGTCTTTCCACCCCAAAGCTCATACACTTCATCTGGCTCATCATCAGATGAAACGTGCCCATTTTCAGGCAGCATCTCGGCTTGCCACCCCGAAGGTGGCTGCAACTCTTCATCAGCTTGGGCAGATTCTTCTCCGTCGTCATCCTGCTCTTCCTCCGTATCCTCCTGTTCCTCATCATCCTCAAAGTCATAGTTGTCCAGGCGCCATGGAGCGGCGCCTGCAGCAGGAAGGTCACTGGTCTGCTCCAAAGCCACGCATCGCACTTCAGAAGCAGCAAAATTTGGTCCAGAAATGAAAAACTCGCCCCCGGACTGGAAAGCAACTTCTCCGTTGGAAAGGGTATTTGGCCTGAAGGTCAACGCGAGCGGCTGTGGGCGTCCCTTCTTACAAGTGACTTCTAGGACGCCGTTCACCAGCTTTGTGTGTTTCGCCATCCAGCTGGGTGGAGCAACTTTTTGCCTACCTGGCAGGAAGACAAAATGAATCGGAGTTGTGAATAGATCGCCAAGGGCTGTCTTCTGCTTGTTCGTCAACTCATTCTCGCTGGTCGGCTGACCTTGGGCATCCTGGAGAATACTGTGTCTTTGCTTTGTAAACTTGGCGATTGCCCTTTGAACTGCGGTCCTGAGAAAGCAATCACTACACTACAAAGTGCCAAGTCAATGCGTCAATGCAACACTACACAATTGGTTCTCCAATTTTGACGCGTGCAAATGAAGCAATCAAAACATCGATAAATGTCAAGACTAGGTTCGCAATCGACAGCGGCATCGCTGCAGGAGTGTTGTCCTCTTTGATGACCTGCCATTGAAGTCGTCGGACACCCCTCACTGGAAGTGCAAGGTCCTGTGCACCCCACGCAGCATTCATTCCGGAAGGATCTAACATATTTGCCGCTGTTTGAAGATCCATGGCTTCCTCCTTGGAACAATAACCGCATACGCTCCAGGCTGCACTGAAGTGGGTCAAAGGAATTCGCCTCCACGCTGTCAATGTGTCTTCCAGAAGCTGTCGGTCAAAGGACACCTGCCGTTTGATGGTTCCGGACCTGCCCAACTGGAGCTGTGAAAAGGTTGGTCGCTGGGTCATATCGGAATGATACCTCAGGTTTTCAGCGCCAACATCCATGAGCTCCCGCCGATACGCGTTGTGGAGCTGGTCCACGGGCTGTCCGTGCGCTGACCAGCCACCTGGCCGAGTCGACCTGAGGATGCAGCTTTGGAAGAGCAAACCCCCTTACTTAGACAACTTATATATATGTCGCATAGACATGACAGTCCAGAATGCCCCATGGACCATTCACGGGGATATCCCATAAACAATGATCCTCGAGGATTCTAGTCTGTGTGTGTGGTGCGTAGACTTGACATGTGACAGTCCACAAAAATGTGCTATGGAAAAATACAAAAAATATTATATAAATTACTTTACTAACATAAAATGAGCCACGGTAACTCCACGCCATTCAGTTGTGACCATACGTTGCGCTCCAAAGCTTCCCCTCCCTCATTGCTCCTGAACCCTGTCCAAGCATCCGCAAGGAACTTGCCCCGCGATTTGCCATCTAGGCCATACCGCTTTCTCTGCGCATCGAAGGCTGGGCCATACAAACTGTATAGCATCTTAGTGAAGCAAGCACTGGTCATGAAGTGGGAACGGGAGTCGGACAGGATTGCAAAGGCCTCTCCTGCGTGATCCGAGTTGAATTTGCGAACCTCGGCCTCGTCCATGCTCCCAGCCGGAAGGTTGAGACCCAACGGGCCTGGTCTGCAATCGCCGAAGGAAGACGTCATCACCGTCATCGACACACGGGCTCTGGAAATGTGATCTTTTACAGACACGCCCAAAGCCTTTTGATTGGATTTGCCTGTCTTGCCTCGCAGCTTCCGGTCCTGTGTTCCCATCAATATATGTATCTTCCCAACCATATAAGATGTCAAGTCTATGGAGACCTATGGAAATACAATAATATATCCACATATAATATATGCACATATATATATATATCCACTAATAAAACTATCTACCTAATCCCGAGTTCCTATTAATAAACCCTCCACAATTAAAAAACACCACGTCCGAACCCCTAAATTCGGTTTATATTTGGTTTTAAATCGCCGCCCTTTCAAACCGCTACTAAACTACCAACATGGTCGATTTTGGGGGTAGTTTTTTTTTATTAGGTTCCCCAAAACTCTACCATGACACGCCGCGCTTACACCAGCAGGCTTTCCTTCCCTCAATGGCACGGACTCACGCAAACGCACTTGCCACCGAGGTCATGCAACACCGCATGGCACAGCGACATCACCTTTCGAAAGCTTTAGCTGTTAGTCTACTGAAGAATCACTATTCAAATGAAGGTTTTTGTAGGGGAAAAGGAAGACCCTTCGATCTGGCGGTTTTTTGCATTTTTGATACGAGTTTAATAAAGGATTTTATATAAAATTTTCCTGGATTACTTTTTGGTTTTGAAACTCTTTCCAGGTGACCCTATTTTGGGCCCCCGCGATTTCAGGGACCCCCTATTAGAAAAAATGCGACCGAGGTTTTTTTAATAGGGGAGGGGGCCCGTGTTTATTAATAGGAGGATGGGATTATAATATATCCACAGTCCACTTGCCCAAAACTGTGTCTCTGGTCACTGTCAAGACTATGTGTATGCACATACCGTCCAACCACTCGTCCAACCCTGTCCTTTCTCAGAGTATGCTTGCATCCATTATATGCAGCTCGCCATAGCTGGTCGATGTTCAGTATCAGTCTTCTGTCAATGCCCCTCTGTAAGTCCTCCTCAAACTCGTGGCGGGCTGCTTGCATTTTTGGATGTTCGAATGGCAAGTAGATTCCAGCTGTGTTCGTAGATCGCTTGACCCATCCAAAGGCTTTCCGAAAGCGCCAAGCCCAATTTTTTGAAATTCTCTCTGGCGCAAGCGTCAAAACAGGAAGCTTCATCTGGTCGACAACAGCAGGATTCAATGTGCCTTCAAGCACTTCACGCGTGAGCCTTTGCTTCTCCTGCTCAAATTTCTGTATCTCTTCTTTCATCTTGACGTTCCACTCACGGCACATCTTCTCGGCAGTGTGGGACTTGGCAACGCCAAAACAATGCAGTAAAGAGTAAAGAAAACAAAGGGGGAAAAAAGGGTTTAGTCTGTGATAGTGAGGTCCAAAGTCTTGACATTGCCATGTTGTCTTGACATACACAATTGCCGGTGTGGGTGCCCCAAACATAAACTCTGACTATAGTGTGTTTGTAGTTGTGCTGGGCTTCTATTATAGTTCAGTTACATGTCAAGACTGTAGTCATGTTTCATTCCAAAAACTAAGCCATCGACTATTTGCCATAGCATAATCTCCTCGTTCCGCTCAGTTACCTGCGAGACGCCGCTGGTCAAAATAGCCATGTGCTCGTCAAGAGACTTCAAGATTTCAGGCGGAACTGACTGAAATCGAGGCTTTCCCTTCTTCTTGGTGTTGCCAAACGCTTCTTTCCAAACGTCTGGGACTTCCTTGTGTTGTTCTCTAATGTGCTGCGGTATGTTGTCCCACTGCTGATCCTTCGATCGCTGGACCCATCTTGAAACACTGATCCATGGTCCGACAAGGTGGGGAAACTGAAGCTCGGCCATGCGTTGCAGGTTTCTTCCTCTTTTCCTTTTACTCTGTTTTTGCACCTTCTGCTCACAAGATCCCTTCTCCACTTCCTCCTCCTCCTCATCCACCTCCTCATCCTCGGAGGTGCCCTTTGACTCTGGAGAATCTGAAGCAATTTCCTTTTTCTTCGCCAAGACCCAGTTGACCACATCCAACCTTTGCTGAATCGTGAGTTTGGGCCTGTGCTCTTTCTTGGACTTCATGCCCTCAAAATCATCCTCTATTCTTTTCTTCTTGCCTCTTCCAACTGTCAAACTCCAGATATGCCGCCTTCGTTTGTTCCTTTTATCTTTCTTTTTCTTCTCATCGTCCTCGTCCAACTTGCTCAATGCACGCTCTTTGGCCTTTTGACTCTTCTGTTGGGCAGTCTTCCTCATCCCGCTCAATCTGATTGCCAACTCTGATACCTTCTTGCACTTGGCCTCTTGCTCTGTCTTCGCCTGCTCATTCGCTCCTCCAAGCTTTGAAAGGACTGAAACTGTGGTAAGTTCATCTTCATCCCCGAACAAATCAGCAATGCCAAAGTCCTCGAAAATCTCCTGAAAGCAGGCCGTGGTCTCTTCTGTGGCTTGGGCGGTGAAGGGAAGCCGAGCCACCTTCTCCAACGCTGCACGTAGGTCTTGGTGTCTGTCACCCAGTTCTTTGATCTCCTATCAAGTTTCTTCTTTACACATCTAAGCTAGTCTAAACTCATATTCTCCCCGCCTTCTACCTGTTGTCTTGACAGTCCGTGGTGAAGTTACATAGTTTATGGCGCAGGACAGGGGGCCGTGTTTCTCTAGCAGTGGGTGTTGAAACATGTTTTAACCTGGTGTCTTGACAAATATGGCAGTCCTCCTGTAGCTTCTCTGTGGCAAGCTCTGCTTTCTGCACCTCTTGCAAGCGTTTCTTGTCCTTTTCCTCCACCACTTGCTTGGCCTTGGTCTGCTCTGCAGCCAGTTTTTCCAAGGCTCGTTGGGTCTCATCTACAGCACAGTCTCCGATGTTTTTCTCTCGGATTTCACGCTCTACTGTCTCATCCGGAATGAATCTCAACTTCAAATTGGATAGGCGGCCAGTCTCTGCAATAAACACAGTGCCATCGCGAGGTTCATCGTTGGACACCACTCTGAAAGTAGAACACTTGTAGAAGTCATCCGCTGCAGCGGGTGGACGGGCAATTTTGGCGTGCAGCAGACCTGCATCAGGACGGCGCAATGTCTCGGTCACACGCGCCAGAGCTTCTGAGTTTGTCTCTTCATGGAACATGATGCCAAGAATGCTTTGCTGGCTTTCCGCTGCTTCGTTGTTCAACAAGTCCTGATTTTGAGGCAATATAGTCTTGACACCCCTGCACCACCAAACACAAATAATCCCTTCCGCCTTCCACCTATCAAAAAGCATAGGGGTATCCCCATTTTCCATTTTCAGCATGAAGGGTATAAAAATATATCCGCCGACCCCACACCGTGGGGTGAGGCGTGACTGTCGATGTTAGCCTTAGCCTTAAGCCTTAGCCTTAGCCTTAGGCCTTATCCTTAGACCTAGTCCTTAGCCTTAGACCTAGACCTTATATACCTCCCCTACCCCTCCGGACCCTTGTTGCAGTGACGAAATCCGGCCCTAAAAGCGACCTGATGGTGACCTGGATTGTCCAAGATTCTGCCATCCCAATTGATTTACATCTTGGAGCACCCTCTCGACCCGCGCAGGAAAATAAGCACGGTCCAAAATGGTCCTGGGCTCGAATCCCGGGCTGGTCGCGGCATGGTCCCGGCCAATGCCCTTGCTTTTTCGTAGATTTTGTCACGTTTTCTGTTGGTTTATGAGATTTTCAAAGGCTTTTCTGGCATTTTCCTAGGAATGCTCTAGGCTTTGTCTTTTTGGGTACTTGCTTTGGTGGTGCTGGGTTGGGTCTAAATTGGTAAACCTGGGAGGTACCCAAAAAGTCGACTTTTTGGGTACCTGCTTTGGTGG